ACAAGTTATTATATAAATCGATTCAGCACTCATGAGGCAAACATGACGAATACAATGATACTATGATCTCATCAAAGATGAAGATTATAAGATATCTGACATTAACTATGCTACAATGACTTTCAAGTGATTATGAAAGTGAGTTCAATGCCTAAACAAATTTACAAATACATATTTCAGTTTAGAAAAAAATTATTCTACGACTTGAGTCAACATTTCTGGGTCATCATGTATATAAAGTTTTTATGAAGGCTTTTTGATTATCATTAGCTAAAACATTTATTTCAAAATTTGAACAACTTTTATGTTTAGAATTTGATTCTTGTCAAAAATGAATAATTTCTTTACCAGTGATGATTAATTAGAACCCATTAAATCAGAAAATAACATTCACGTTACATTTCTTTTTTCATGTATATTTCTTACACATATTTTTAAAGCTTCTATCTTCTTCTAGTGAGCATTTTAAGAGTCTATAAACGCAATACAAGTTGTAGAACTTCAGAAATAAATACAGAGATTAAGAGAAACAAAGAATCTTGAAAGATTTTTTAAAATTTTTCTCTTTTCTCAACTCAATTTTGTTTGTTGTGTCTAATCCACATGTTTCAAACATAAAAAAAAACTGATGAAAATCATTTCTTTTCTTCCGAACCTTCTTTAAAAATAAGACCCTGTACACATTCATTTCACCAAAGAATATCAATGGCTGCCAATTTAAACAGTGTTCGAGACAATATCAATCAAATCGAAACTCGTTCTGACAAATTATGCAATGAAGTGATTTTAAATTTAAATGAATTTAGTGACTACATAAAATCCACAAAAGGTCTGTGCAATCAGGCACAAGAAATGATTAAAATCTCAGAAAACGAAGTAGTTCATGTATCGAATGAAGAAAAGGAATGAAAAGATATCAAAGCTAAATTAGCAACAATATCATTTAAGGACAATGTATTACTCGATATAGAAGGTGAACAGTTTTCTACAAGTATTGAGACATTAACACGTGAAAAAAATACGTTCTTCATCGTACTCTTCTCTCACAACAATGGCAACTTGAAAGAGATTCTGATGATAAAAGTATATTCATCGATCGTGATGAAAAATTGTTGAATCATATTTTAGCATATCTAAGAGCAAATAATATATTCAGTGATATAATCTTGAATGAGCCACTGCGTGAACTTCTTCTTAGAGAAGCTGAATATTTTTGTTTACATTCTCTTATAGATAAACTAAGGGATACTTATTTTTCAAATGAAACATACCAAAAAACTGAATGAATTTTATTGTAAGTTTAATTAACACTGGGAATTAATTTAAAAAGCATCACATGATGACATTGATGCAAAAACATTTCATTCACGTTGTGATAATCAAGGATCAACAATGACGATTATTCTATCAAATAACAATTATCTTTTTGGAGGTTATACAGCTATACCATGGACTTCGGATAATTCAAACAAGAGTGATACAACAGCATTTTTATTCACTTTGACCAATCCTCATGGTATTCCACCGACTAAATACTGCATCAATCCTACTGTAGCAGAAAACGCAGTTCGTCATTACAGTACATTTGATCCAATATTTTGAAATGGTAGTAATATATGTTTGGTAAGTTGTAGCTATGTAAACAATTCAAGCGAAACTAATTTCCCAAAATCATACGTCGATACAACTGGAAAAAAAAGATTAGTACATTTATTAGAGCTCGAAATTTTATTACATCTGACACTGAAGTTACCAAATTAATTTAATTTATTTTTCTCGCTGCCATTTCTTTATTTTCGCTGATGAAACAGAACTTTTTTTTATTCATGATTACTTCAATATTTAAATGTATTTAATTGAGAAAATATTAGATAAGCTGATAAGAAGTGAATGTTTTGCATTCTACATAGAGTATATTTTACAAAAAATATAATTCAAATGAGACTGATTATCATTGACATGATAAAATAGAAACACAGCTTTTTATTTCTTATTTGGAAATTACTCAATGTAATGAATGTCATTTAGACAGATTGATAACGACTTTGAATCTTAGATATTTTCCTTTGAAAAATCTATTGATGATGTTGATACGACCAGTATCTTGTGTATTCAATAGTAAAATTCGTATGGATTTAAAAGTCTGCAAGTATTTTAGAGACAGAATGAATTTACTCATTATCATAGATTAACTTACAGAGATCTATGTTACAGGTTTCAATGAAATATTATTTGTGCTTAACTTTAATTAAAGCATGAAAATACTAAAAAGATCGGTTTCTAAATCTGTTGCCTTGTTGAAATACTTAATTTACAAGAGAAGCATCTTCAAATTAAATATGAAGAGTAAAAATCTAGTACCCCTACTTACTTGGCTCTCTGAGAGGTTAATCAATCGATGACTTACTTAGTT